CCCCCTCCCTTGGGCCATTGAACCAGTGGACTGGTCTGGATGTCAGTTTCAGGGGGTGACAAAAGTACAGGCCAGAACCAAATAAGGCAACATCCCCGAATTGACGTCAATTCGGTGCTTCGTTTGAATTTGCCCGTTTTATTAGGGAGGGTTTAGAATTGTGAGCAGTGAAAGGAGTTGTCAATGGGGTTTGAACTTCTCTGTTCGTCCATTTCACCCACTGAACTATCGTTATTCATCTATGACAAGCTAAACTTGGCTTTGCATTCTATGACTCCTTTAAAGAAACTTTAAAGTATATATTTTTTCCAAAGTATTGTCTGGTTTATTTTCACGCCCAGACATTCCTCTGGTTTGTTGCCTATTTTTTTTTTTATCTCCGCCTAATTATATTTCAACACGATGTTTCATTTCATTTCTACAATGTCAGGCTGGACTCCTCTGTCCAACCGAAGCAGTGAGGTGGGATCCAACTATAATTTGCAGAAATTAGAGACACACAAGACACTTCAAAATACATGACAGGTGAAAAGAGAGAAGGTGCATGTTCATGTGGAAAATAGTAAAAAAAATAGTAAGCAGGAGCATTATGGGAGCAGTAAAGTTGGGCTGTTTTTAAAGAAGGTAAAAAAAAAAAAGTGGAGACACCCTAAGGCCTGGTTTCGCTCTGGGAGGCCATTTAACTACTTTTTTTATTGTAGTACTAAAACACTGCCACACACAGTGCAGACAATTCACATATGAGCCATTTTACAGCTCAACGTTTTCCGAGAACCATTAGACTGAGTGCTTTCCTTCAAACACCACACTCAGATGTTGGTGGATTATACAGACATACAGACAGAATTCTGTATCTGATCCATCCTGCTCAACAAAAACTTCCCAGTTTGGACATGGTGACACTTCTGCTTGTGCTACGAAACAACGGCCAGTGAATGGAAGGTTGGACATTCACAGCAACCTTCATTTCTAATCTGTCAGGTCTCCTCTGGGAATCCAAGAAAACCAAAAGCCTCCCCTCTCATCCTAAAACATAATCCCAGGGCAATAACTCACTTTAAATCGCCTCTTGAGTTAAAGTCAAAAGCTTTTAAGGTGAGCATGCAGAGAAGGCTGCAGAGGGCGATATCCCAAGACGAAAGAGAAGGCAGGCGCTCGCTCCTTGAAGTGCTTTGACAGGGGAACCAAGGTGAAACATTTCTACATGGATATGCTCACTCATGCACAAATTGACTGTATCCTCACATATGAAGCCATGTTTGTGGCATTTTGATCTGCCCAGCCTTCACTGAGGAATTTGACCTCTTCACCCTGAAGCAGAGCCTGAACTGGGAGGATGAATCCACTGTTTTTCACATAAACCATAACCCAGAGCAGACTCCCTGCAACCTACTCCTTCACCAGCAGACGAAATGAGACCCTGGAATTCCCACACCGGAGAACTCCCCCCCCCCCAAAAAAAAAAAAAAAAACAACAACAACAACACAATAACTACATTAAAATAAAATTCAATTATTTAATTAGAATTCTATACCATGCAAATTCTTAATTTACTCCAATTTCATTCAATCTTTGGGGAAAGAAGGTTAGTGTTACTGGGAGAGTCCCAGTATGGCGTTCTGTACATACATCCAGCGTATGTTTAGCTGGGGTTGATTGGATTGCCCAGCACTGGTTGTCATGGTTTTCAAGCTATCATGTGGTGATCCTGTGGTAACCATGACGCCCATGGCTGGTGAAAATTTCCCAGCATTCCCTCAAAGCTTCTTTCCAAGACATATGGCACACCCAAAAACCACGAATAAAATCTATTTTATTTCATGCGGTCAAACCATCATCCTTTTTCTTCCTTAATTTCACCTCCTCCTCTTTAACTCAGGGTCATATAAACCTCTTCTTCCATATTTCCCATCAGCTTTCTCCCCATTCATCCCCCTCCCCCCTCCTCTCTCTCATTTCATTTCCATCATCTGTTATTCTCAATCTCCCTCTCATTTGAATTCTCTGGAGATTTTTTATTCTGTCAGATTTATTTTTATCAACTCATAATCCTATGCAAAAAAATCAACAAAAACATGCCAAAGTACTAACAGTGTTAGAGTGAGGTTTTAATATCTGATATTCCAATGTGTAAAATCTGTCTGTGGAGCTCATTATTACTTACATAATATAAGCAGAGGAGATCAAATGAGATGTTAACCTTAAACTTTGCAGCAGAACCCCTCTCACATCAGTAAAAAGACACATCATTGTCTATGATGTGGCTTCTGAGAGCAAAGACAATGTTTTTATATTGTATTTATCTTGGTTTAATCAATTTTGCAATAGTAAAACCCGCATTTTCACCATTTCCAATTGAATCTATAGTAAGAAAAATTACCCAAAGTGCATATTAATGTTCTGTTTAGGGCTGCAACTAACGATTATTTAGCAAATTGATTAATTGATTAATTTTTTGAATAACTGATTAATAATCGGATTGCCGAAGGTTCCTTAAAGAAGATGTTTTACGAAATCAAACAAGTAAAACGTTTCTACTTGAGGAGTTCTGGATGCAGCATATTAAGAGATGCAACTTTTTTCATCTTAAATGCAAAATGTATATAATATTTTTTTTTTTACAATTTTAATATAATTTCTTACAGTCCCTATACTCCACTTAATGATTAATCGAATATAGTACTTAATACTAAATTAGTTGACGATTATTTCAATAATTGATTAATCCGATTAACTGTTTTAAGCCTCGTTATGTTACTTCTTTATGTTGTTCTTCAAAAGTTTTGGATGATTGGAAACTCAGTTTTTAGGCTTATTTCAGCTTTATAAGCAGATCAACACCAACAGCAAGGATACATGTGTTATTTTAAATGTTTAAACCATAAACATAAAGGATAGAAAACTATGTTATAGTACTGTTGCATTATGAATAGCTTAGAGCTTCTGAAAATTCAAAAATACAGCTTCTTAAAGGATTAGCATGTTATATAAGACAAAAGGCTTGTATATACAGTTATATGATCAACTGAACTACTCAATAATGGGGGAACTTGCTCTTCATTGGCACCCACTAAAAATGAGAAAAGTCGTTGCTAAAGACATAACTCTTGCAAACACTGCTGTATGCAAAAAATATCAAAGTTAGGTGGAAGAAAACAGTGCAGCAGCAATAGGGATTAGAAGGTCTTTAGTTAGCTTTTGGCTATAACCAACTTACCCAGACATAAACACTTGAAATATATCATGCATGTGATAAATCTAATCAAAATTAGTATAAGAATCTATCTGTTTCATATTGATCCAATTAAATAATAATGTCCAACACCTTCTTATGTTTACAGATAGAAATATGAATGACCTCTTTGAATAAAAATTTTACAACCTTGTGTGATCTGAAAACTGCACATGGACCCACATCCATGTGCATTAAAGCATCATGTGTATCCATTGCATTAAATCGGATTTGCTAAACGCGATTGCTTGAATTAGTTTCCTGGACACATCGGATTTATAATTTCCAAAGAGGCACATAAATATTCCTGAATGTCTAAACAAAGAACATTGTGTAGGTGCAGCGAGTAGTGTGCAGCCGTTGGCCATGTGTTCAAAGAGGGCCCATCGCTGATTTATACTCAGCAAATAGAACCTTATTCTCCTGATCTGGGACGGATCGCATAAATGTTTGGTATCAAGTTAAAGAAAGGTGTTCTGCTTTTAAATCCAAGAGTATATTCATATTCCCTCCTTAGGAGTCATTAATCATTTCGTAGAAAGTTTTCCTCCTTTTCTTGGTACATGGTTCAGCTTTGACTTCAGTGTTATATCAGGGATCTCTGCCATGCTGTAATAGTGACACGCTTTAACCTAAAATAGCTGCTTTACCAGCAATGAGGCCTGTCCAGCCTAAAAGCAGCTTAGTGGGGAAAAACTCTGAGTCCCTTAAAGCTGCGCTAATCAGAGCTGTTAGAGGAGGAATTGTCAAATATATTTCATATTGGATTACAAGGACATCCCAAGCTCTCATTGCAAAGGGTTGAATTTCTTTGTTTGTTTATCCCTAAATCAATCAAAACTATGAATTCACAAAATTTTTGTTCACCTATAACCCTTTCCCCTCAATTGCACCTTTGTGCACTTTTTTGTAGTTTTATAAAAGTAGATAGTAACATTTGCTTAGATGCATGAATCTGCATAATTCCTTCATTTCCTTTTAGATTTAAAACTCGCTCAATTGTTGTCGGTTTGTCACTTAATGTCAGAACTGGAAGGTCAGACCTTGCAGAAAAATGGAATTTAGTCTGATTAGTAACACCATTGTTTATTTCCTGTATCCCAGAGCTTAGCTTAGTGCAACACCTGACTGCAACAGCTCCATCCAGAACAATCATATCCCACCAAGACAAAGAGAGGGGAAGCTGTTGCTGATCTGAGCATGCGTCTTCAGCAACCACAAGAGCATGACGCCAGCCGTTGGCTGACGGATGCAACAAGCCACCCTGAACACTTCCAGTTTTGATTGGAGAGAAAGAATGACAACAGAAGAGACAGAAGTAGACACAGAGAGAACAAAAGAGCCCCACAGGCTCCCAAATAGACGACTACATGTCCATTAATGGCAAATCTCAATCAATTGCAGCAATATCAGCTTATCTGTTGTGGACTTGTCCAGCCTCTTTGCAGGCAATCAATGCCCCCTAGTTCTCTCAATGCCCTAACACTTTTCTGCACAGCTAGCTAATACATTATAACATCCAGCCCCATCCCCCTGCAAGGGCAGTCAGGCACTCAGAGCAGCACTCACCACGTACAGAACTGCCCTTATATGCTGCAGCAGCAGCTGGAGGATCTGTTGGGGAAAAAAACCCATCGTGTGGCATTAACTAAATTCTGTGTGCAACCGATAAGAGAGTTGCAGTGATGGAAGCCATGGGATTTCTCTTCAAGACATGACATTTTTCTCATCAAGCTTAAAACACCTTCCTTTGGTTGGAAAACCTACCTGACTTTGAACTCGGCGAGCTGCGGCTGCACACCAGGTTCAGCACAGTAGATCTGGGGGAAGTAGAATCGATGAGACTGAAGGTTGATGTCCATGGTGAATGATGCAAGCCTTAAGGTAAAGTCCTATTATATGCAAAACAATAAAAAATAAAGAGAGAACTAAACAGACAATCTTGTCTTTGTCTGTCCTGATATCTGTCGCCGACACTCCCAGTAAAGGTCGAAGTCAGGCAGGGAGATAACGATCACCTTCTCCACGAATGGTTGCAAAGGTTGGAGAATGCTACCGCCAAAAAGGCAACCCTTTCCTCTTCATCTCCTCCATGCACTGAACAAGCAGTCACCTCTGCTGTCTGGCACCAAAAAGGCACACTAACCTATTTCCCCACTAGCAGCTACACTATACTCAGCAGCTGTGTGAACGAGAACAAAGATAGCAGCTCTGAAACAGGCTGGCTCCCAAAGAGGTAAGAGGAGAAAATGCAGGATTTTAGTCACCAAATCATCCTTTAAAGGGGAAAGATGCAACCATAGGAGGAAAAAAAAGAGACAAAAAGAAGAATTTGGATGAAAGATTTTCCTGAAATACAAGGGCTCTCCTCAGCCACGTACAGAAGACTGAATGGAGAATGAGAGTCCTTTGGTTTTTATGCTTCAGAGGCAGAAGAAAGAAGAGGGTGGGGGAGTCAAAGAGATGGAGACCGAGAGAGAGAATCCCGGTGTTGTGAGGCGTTGCCCTCGTACTGCCTCTCCCCTCACTGTCTCATTGGATTACCTCCTCCCTTTCTGTGCCCCCCTCCCATCCTCCATCCCTTCTCTTCCCAGCTGTGACAGGAGGGAGATGGGCAACCAGCCCTGGAGGCTGCTAGCCCCCACCCCTCCTCCTGCTCCTCCCACTCTCGCCACCTGATTGGTCAGGGTGGGGATGCGTAAGCCCTGGTGGAGAGAAGGAACGAGGTTGAAGAGGACGAGCAACAGATTTTAATTCATCCGATGGGCCCTCTTTGCTTCCTCGCGTATTATTTGACGTGGCGTGCCAGGCTGGGGCGGAGCACGCACACACACACACACACACACACACACACACACACACACCAGCATCTATATAAACACAGTGATCCATCAGCTTATACTTGATGTTCATTAACCTAAAGTGACGCAGGTGGAGAGCGGAAAATAAACAAGTCCATCTGTTCTGCACATATTAAGTGTGAGCAGTGAAAGGATTGGTTAACTCTCCTTTATTATTAAAATGTGTTAAATAAATCAACAAAACCTTATAAAGTCAGCAGCAGTGTATGATGTAGATGTATTTGTGCATTTGATTCTCTTTGTTCCACTTTTTGGATAAATCTTCTGATTTAAATCACAGGCTCAACATTAAAAGCCGTTTACCAACAAATCCATCCCGTTTAAACTACAGAGCTGCTTTCTTCTCAGAAAGTAAACCGCTGGTGGGTTTCAGCTCCGCTCACGTCACTAACACGTATCTCGCTGATCAGCCGGAAAGAGTTTCCATTGATCATGTAGAATTGCTGGATGACACAGTTTGTCCTGAAATCGATGTGGACAACAGTGCAGTTTAGGGTTTTCCACTGGTCTCCACAGGGGTGCCCTTAAATTAAAATTAAAACTATTAGACTTAAAAATCTAGTAGAGAAACAAATATCTATCGCTTGTATTAAAACATAATAAAATTATAGTTTAACGTTTTTTTTTTTTGTGAAACTAAACTTTACTTTCCAGCTTCAGCTGGTTCATCTGTCTTCCTCTGTGTTTTGGAATCTGATGGCAAATCGCTTTGAACAGATTGAGAAGTCGTGGAGTTACTAGTAATGACTTGGCCACATTCACATCTTTATATTAATCATACATCAGAGAACCAAAAATATGGCAGATACGTGTCAGGTCTGTTTTGTTGCCTGACAACAACATTAGAGCGTTAGCTCTTGTGTTTAAATTGAGCTCAGACTGTCGTAAAGCATTGCTCTAGGCCGCATGGTGCATTGTTTAACAGATCCGACCCTCTCAGGTTACATCGGCGTGTTTTTGAGAAGGGCAGTTTGCTGTATACTGACCTGAACAATTATTTATTATACACCAAAGTTTGAATTTAAGGCTGGAGATAATGATAACGAGACACATTTGTGCTGAATTTTTGGTCATGTGCTGTATGCACGGTGAGTTCGAGTTTTGCTTAGTTGCTTAGTTCATGATGAAACAGGCTTCATTTGGAGGCAACCAGACTTCCGTAGGGCAATAGAGGAGTAAAAATGCAACATGGGAATTAGATCAAAACTGTTTTGATTACCCATATCTTTAAAGCATGGATAAAGCATAACATATTCATCCATTTTCCATCACGCTTTATCCCTGCTGGGGTCATGAAGGTTGCTGGTGCCTATCTCCAGCTGTCTACAGGCAAGAGGCCCTAATACACCCTGGACAGGTCACCAGTCCATTTTAGGGCAACACAGAGAAACACAGGACTAACAACCATTCATGCACACATTCACACCTAAGGAGAATTTAGAGACACCAATTAACCTAACAGTCATGTTTTTAGACTGTGGGAGGAAGTAGCAGTACCCAGAGAGAACCCATGCATGCTCAGGGAGAACACGCAAACTCCATGCAGAAAGACCCGGGCCGGAAATCAAACCCAGAACCTTCTTGCTGCAAGTTCTACCGCTACTGCATCACTAAGCAGCATAGCACATATATAAATTCATTGGGTTAGTGTTTTGCAAATAACATTCAAACCAAGATCCTGTCCAGGGCATCACTGAGCTCCTGCACAGTCTGAAATGCAACCTGGTAGTGTTGGATGTACATCCCAGAAATTGTTCATTTGATTTGCTGCTGGTTTTATATATATATATATATATATATATATATATATATATATATATATATATATATATATACACACCGGTATATAAATTCCTAAAGTCTTTTAGTAGTTGACATTTTGTTCCATTTGAAAGACCAAAAAGTTTAATTCTGTTGTAATTGTTAGAAACTCCTACAGTTAGACATGGGACTGATAATCTGCTCTCAAAATCTCCCACGCATCTTTTTTTAACCACATTACTGGATTCAGACCGCGACTGAGCTGCAACTCCTCTTAAAAGTACATGATTACAAGTTTCATGAAGTGATGGATACCTACATTTGAGGAGCAGATCAACTGAAAAACAAAAGAAATGTAATTAAACCTATTGTTTGTATGCCTGGTTTATTATTAGATACAGTAGTTCAGACAACCCAAAAAGTCCTGTTTGGAAAGAGCAAAGAGGAGAGACAGATGGACAAATCAGGAAACAGTGTAAGGGCTTGGTGAGGTGGAAATGAGACGCCTGGTGAGAAGAGAAAAGTGAGACCAGAATATGGAGGAGGGAAATGATGGGGACAGGAAAGAAAAAGAACAAGTAGATGAAGGTAAAGGGACCACTAGCTGAGTCTGTGTGCACCCATCCCCCACTGTGGTCTGCAGGGTCAGAGCCAGCAGCAGCAGGCTGCATTCTAATATTAAGCTACACATCTCTGCTTGGAGTGAGTAAACACAACCCTCTGTGTGAGCATGTGTGCACTGCAGCCAGTTACTCTAACCTGCCTATTAACGCTCAGCAGGAGGGATGGACGGCCTTCTGTCTGACACACAGCATGAAAGAGGAAGAGTTCCCCACACAGGACAAAATGCTGATAAGAGTGAAAATCTCTGCAACATAGGAAGTTGGTCCAGAAGTCAAAAGACAATCTTTGGAGGAATTTAAGGGGAAAAAAAGCTAATTTATCTGGGGTAAGAGGCTGGAGGTGGTGTTATAAAGTATAGGAGCCATTTTTCAAATCATTCATTTTTTAAATCAAGTCAAAAAAGGGAAGGAGGGAAGAGGAGCCCTGATGATCTTCTCTGCTGTTCTTACCTCTCTTCTCACCTTCTTCAAGTCTGAGGCACTGCAGCCTCCACACCACACAGTGAGACAGCTGGTTAGAACGCTCTCTATGGTGCTTCTGTAGAAGATCATGAGGATAGGTGGGGGCAGGTGGAAGTACATGTGCTTCTGTGCTCTTTTGACCAGGTTGGTGGTGTTTACATTCCAGGTGAGGGTGTTTGTGATGTGCACCCCCAGGAATTTGGTGCTGTTCACCACCTCTACAGCTGAGCTGTTGATGACCAGTGGAGCGTGGTTAGGCCGGTTCTTCCTGAAGTCCAAGAGGATCTCCTTCATCTTCTCTACGTTCAGGTTCAGGCTGTTATCTTTGCACCAGCCCACCAGCTGCTCCACCTCCTCTCTGTAGTCCTGGTCGTTGTCATCACTGATGAGGCCCACGAATGTGGGCTGTTGTCTGCAAATTTCACAATGTGATTGTTGGTGAACCTGGGGATGCAGTCGTGTGTCATCAGGGTGAACAGCAGGGGGCTCAGGACGCAGCCCTGAGGTGATGACATCAGAGGTGTTCTGTCTGACCCCGACTGACTGAGGTCTGTTTGTGAGGAAGTCTAGCAGCCAATTGCAGAGGGGTGTATTCAAGACCAGCTGTTCCAGTTTTCTCATCAGATGCTGTGGGATGATGGTGTAGAAAGCTGAACTGAAGTCCATCTGCACATGCTCTTCTCCTCCAGGTGTGCTAGGCTCAATTGAAGACCAGAGGAGATGGCATCCTTAGTGGAGCGGTTCCATCGGTAGGCGAAATGGAACGGGTGGAATGTAGGGGTAAGACTGGAGACGACGTGTTCCACATAAAGGACACAGTTATTATACCAGGAATTAAAAAGTCCCAAACAAAAATATGAATATATTTGGGGGGTTTAAAGAGAGTAAAATACTTTTTAATTCTGCTCTTTAAGATAGTAAAGTGTAACACTTTCCACTAAAACAAAAGAAAGTTGGGATATAAAATTGTTAGCCCCCCTAAAAACGTTTAAAGATATTTTTAAAGATATTTTATCACATGCTTTAACTTTCTAATGGTGAAAGCTTGTTAAATTATTAAATCCTACTGGTTTCACCTCATAAACAAAAAGCATCATGCATAAAATAGAAAACATCAGTCAGGATTTAAAGGACGGGGTTAAGTGTGTTATTGCTTTTTTTCAATATGAACTGGAATAACTCCATAAATTAAAGGAGAACCAGGAAGCCAGCCTGGCAAAGGTAGGGAGATTTGTCTCTGGAGACCCCAGACCACCAGCCAAGGTTAATGAAAAATGGAAAATAAAGTCTTTAAGAGGTTTTATATATATATATCTATATATATCTATCTATATATAGATATATATAGATATATAGATATATATATAGATAGATACGTATGTATCAAAAAGACAGAAAAACTGAATCCTTCTGTAAGATGGCAAATAACAGCATCCCCATCTATAGTATAGAAGTATTTAAAAGCCTAAAAATCTGAATTTTCCAGCTTTCAAACCAAGATGTTTTAGCTGAAAGCTCCAGCTGCTGTGCGCCTTTTTTTCTTTTTTCTGCAATTTATTACAATTTTTTGGGAGCTCACAAACAAACATGTACTATGGTAAAAAAAAAGAAAAAAAGAAAGGCCTTCATTAGCAAAGCATTTTATAGCCCCACTGACTGGACCACCCACTGGTTCTAAATCAAGATCCCAACATAACTGAGAATATGTTGAAATAATATGATTTCATGTCTATTTTGCTCCCATGCAATTCCTCATAATGTAATCTGCCTTTCATCCCTTCATCTCTGCGAATCCACCCTTTAGTAAAGTGATGAGGAGGGAAAGAAGGGATTAAATGATGATGAGAGGTGTGTGACGGAGAGAA